GATTAATCCCTCGTGAATAAGGAATCATTTGTGTCCTGCTCTCTTTAATTACTCTCTCATTTCCTGATACTTTTAATGTGCCTCCAAACAGTGTAGCTATTTGACTTACTCAAAATGTATCTTGGGATTTAAGTGTAGTAAATGGTGTCCTCCTCCCTTTTTGTTATTAGGATTTTTTTGTATGTTCAGGAGGGAGGGCAATACTTGAGATCTTAACATCGCTGTGGAGTAGAATGATGTCTCTCTTTTGTATAAAGGATAGTCGTGGAGGTTCCTCTGTGGCAGTGCAGTCCTCCTGAGGACTCATTACGTATTCCACCAGACTCAGCCCTCCATTCATACCACTTTAAATGGTGTCTTCATTTGTTGCGTTCTCGTATCTCATTATTATACAACGTATCGTTTGTGCCCTGGTTGGATTTGGGATTTTCTCCCAAGCAGGGACAACAGTCTGAGGTTGATTTAAAGTTGTCACATCTGAACCTTCAAGACATTTGTTTTGAGAAAAATCTCTTCACTATTTCATCAAACTCAGTCAAAGCTTTAAGGTCATAGTTCAGAGTATCTTACTAGTAGAATGAATAATAAAGATATATATTATTACATATTGTAGGGCTGAAACCCACAATTAAATTCTCTATGAATCATTTATCCTGAATTACCTTTTCAATGCTTAATCATCAGGCAAATTGTCCAAACAAAGTTACAAATACCCATCGCAGCTTCCCAGAAACCAGGGTGACATCTTCAACATGCTAATGATTCCTAGTCCGAAACCCCACAACATATCATTCATACAACATAAGACAAAGAAAAGCAGCATTCCTCACAATAACGAAGCTAGAACCAGTATGCTTTGGCACCTCTGTGTAATAAAATAACATCAATGATCAAAATGATTGCAAATGAAGGATAATCAATAAATCAACAACTTATTTCTGCTCTAATCTATTGTACACACTTTTAAGACTTCTAGTAACATTTCAGGAAAGTTGTTACGTTTCAGTGATCTACATATTCTGATGTATCAGTTTGAGGTTGAACTGAAGATGGTCGTGGGGAGGAAGTGACAGTGCTGAGACTTTGGCTGTATTTCTTCCCTGAAGGAATGCATGACACCACCGTGGCCCGTTAACTATGCAGTGCCTCGACTCTGGACTTAAAGCCAGAGCTGTTCATAGACAGTTGATCAGGGGACATACGGAGGTGGTCAAACAAAACAGTAGGTCAGTGGAAGCCCGCTGTGTAGGTCACGGAGATAGGGGCAGTTCGACTAGACCTCTAGATTACCACTCAGGTTGAAACCTGGATGATCAGTTTACGCCTCCTCGACATAGGAAAGCATGAGCAGACACGTGTGACACAAAAAGAGCTGGATCACAGTGACCTTTTCCTTTAGTGAGTTTTTTCTTTTTCATGATATTACAAAGTGAAGCATTGCAGTCGGCTACAGGAATTCAGTCAGTGATGGTGAGAGGAGCTCAGCGTCAGATGGCGGCTGTCTCTTCACGTGGCTCCCTGCTGCCTCTGGAAGGGTTAATTCCCCCTCAGAGGTGCTGGGTTTCCTGCCAGCTGTCTGTACCCTCAGCTGTTTGTGCTCCCTACCCTGTCCCCTGTCCCCGAACCTCACACAGGTCTGCCTCTGCTTCGCCTGCCGCACACAGACCAACAGTATACTACTGCTGCTAAAGCTAAGAAGGGCTACTTGCTAACACACTGCTGTTATGATCCAGGCAAAAGGCTTTGTCGTTGTACATTTCCAGTCACTGTTGGATCCATATGTGTACTGCTTTGCGACTGCTATTGCCTTTTCTGTTGGCATCTTAAAAAAGCTGCTCAAACTATATTTGTTAACCATCATTGCAATGTCATCTTAGCACATTGTGAAAGACTGATGAGGATTTTGTTTTAAAGATTTGATGAGTTCGTTTGTCAGTAGCAAACGACATTTTAAAATTGTTGCTATCATTGTTTTTCATTGGTGCCTTTTATCTGGAAGTTTAATAAAAGAAAGTTAACTCAAAAAGCAATTGATGTACTATAGCAGTCTGATGACATCAACAGAAAAGCAGAACTGAGCACCCTTTATCTGTTTCTCTTGTAATATCCTTATCGCAATATTTAACTATTTTATTATACCCCATATTATCCACCTATTGTTCAGCGTTAATCTTAAAGACTTCTTTTACCTCTGCCTTTACCATTGCGCCATATTTAGTGACTTATTTGCCGTTGGCTTTACCATGTTGTTCAGTGTTCTACGGTGTCCTGTGAGAATGGAGCCGTGGTGACAGCTGTGTCGCGCTCTGCCTGTCAGATATCACTCTGGTGAAGGACAGGTCTGATCGTTGTTTGGTGATTTTAAGTCAGTTTTTTTCTTCTTGGTTGAAAGGGCAGAACAACTGTGAGTCCTCCGTGCGGCCCTCCCCCTTTGACTTTCCAGCTGCTGTTTAACTAAAGAGCTAAAGGACCTTGGACTGTCAGAGCCCCTCAGCAGGGCCGGGGAGTGAGCCGCGGACCAAAGCACTCACTGCTCACACTGTGGTGGTGGTCATTCGCTGTAAAGGACAACACCTGCTCTGCCATGTGTAAGTTTTGAGGGCCGGACAACTCTGAGTTAACCCTCTTGATCATGTGTTAACCCTATAGGTTACTGTGGCTGAACAGAGGGTGAATCCTTACAGTAGACATGTTTGCATGGTAGCTTGTCTTATCAGTGGAGTCCATGCTGGATCATCCACCTCTCCCCCATGTAATCAGTCACGTATAAACCAATAGTTGCTGAGAGAGGTTGGCCTTGCCTGCTTCCACACTACCTCTCTGTTATGGACAATGACTACGACTTTCAATACATACAAGCTTATATTGAGCACACCCCATTGCATGCCTTTCTGTTGTGACACATGGCTGTGTTTCTATACAATAACCCTAGTTCACTCACCAGTGTTACACAGCTGCACTGTGTGGAGAGCTATGACACACTATCTTTGTCCCAGTTCTGAGGCTGGATCCTTCAAAGGATAAATAACCTTCAGAGGATCTGAGGTCTAGGCAGAAAGAAGAAAAGAAACGACGATATCTGATCGGTATCGGCAGATCCTCGATTCGGACATGAAAGAGTGCCATTGAACTGTTCCTATAGTGTTAGCGTTAACGTTTCACTTCAATACATAAAGCTCAAAGATGGTACGCAGTATAGAGGTGTGAAGAAGGTGACATATAATAAAGTCCTGACTGGGATTGAAGAGTGAATTGTGTCGTTCAATTTCAGTCAGAAGTACTTTTAGCCAAACGTGGAGAAGCCTTTGAAAAGTATTGTATGTATCTGTGTTTGTACTTGTGATCATTCCACATATTAACCAACAGGTAATATCCTCCATCGCTGTGTCTCACAATCTGTTGTTAATCACACCCTCTAAGAACATTGAACACAGGCTCTTACATGTGTTTGCGTTTACAGATCATTAGTATCAAGTGAGAAGCATTTAAATGCGTAGAAACAGGCACGATGGGTTTATGTACTTTCTAGTCCCTGCCTTACGCCTACTCTGCTCTCTCATGCAGCCCACTCACTGCCTCACCCTACCCTGGTGTATACGTTACTGTATTGTGCCACGCTGCAGCTCACCTCTATTGATCTTAGCAGTGTGAGCACATCTACCTGATATTTACACATTTTGCTGAGATGTCAAGTTACATGGTCAGTTAGTTGTCATAGTAACTCACCAAGATGTGAGTGCAGAAATGACATTGTTGTTAAAGGGGCCCTATTTAGCTTGTTTTGGTTTTCTCTTTCCTGTAGTGTGTCGTCTATGTTGTTGGGCTTATAAATGGTTTCACTCATGTTCACAGTAGAGGCACACAATACATTATGAAACCTGAAAATGGGCACAAGGGGGCCCCTTTTATCTTGATTCGAGTTTGATTGGTGTATAGATGATGAATGGGTGACTCTGTATGTGTACACAGTCATGTTCCCCATGTATCATTTTCTCTCTTAGGCGTGTTGAGTAGTATTTTTTTGATAGAAGTCCCAGTACGGTTGAGTCACCATCCTACACAGGAATTCCTACATTCAGGGAGAACAACAGACACGATTATTCTCCAACTTAAATGCAACTTTTTGCTCTTATTAAATCTAAAATGGAGTTCCTCCCAGCTCTGCTCTGTATTTTCCACATGGATGCAATTACAGGGGTCCCAGCCTGTTTCCATACTCTACTGTCTTGTTTGTTATTTGCCCTCCGTCCATTCAAACTCTCTGGTTTCTGTCACACAGCCATTGATCCCTGAAACATAGCAAGCATTAACCCCCCCCCCTGCTTAAATAGGAAAAGCCTCATTAATGGTGTTGTTCTAGGTGTTCTCATGTGAGACGCTTCCCCATGACAAATGGGCTGTAGCAGAGTAGAGCAAGTACTAGAAGACCTTTCTTTCTGCTTGTCCTTCATTCAGACTAATAAATACATTTAAACCTTGAAAGGCCATTACCGACAAAAACCACTTCAAGAGACGGCGCTTGATTTTTCTTTCTAACGATATCTTTCAAGAACATCAAATAAAAGGAACGAATAATAAAGAAAAAAAATACAGAAATGTGGCAGGTTTAAAAATCGTTATATATTTACACTCTTTCCCACTTACTTCTACTGCTGCAAAATAATTTCTCTTGGGATTGATGTGCTTCTTATCTTGCTTTATGTTATTGAAATATGCTGGGATTAACCAGTCAGGAAAGGCCTGACAAAAACACTATAGAGAGGAATTATGGGAATTGTAGGAACCAGTGTTTTTGGAGCCTGACGCATACTCATTTCCCATTTTCACCATTTTAAATCTGTCTCTCGCGAATCCCTCAAGTTTATCGTAGAACACACTTCATTGCTAGCGTACCTCTCATCTCACTCTTATTATTTCTTGACATAACTAGTACTGATTGAAATTTCATCAAATCCTCTCCCCCCGTCCTCCTACTCACACTTCATGTCCTCTCTCCCCAGGACACACTGAAGCCCACGTTCACGGTGGCCAGCCTGCCGGGCAGCGCCCAGTGCACGGTGCCCACCACCTCCACCACCATGCAGGTGAGCAGCGGGCCCTCGTTCCCCATCACCAACTACCTGGCGCCCGTCTCGGCCAGCAGCAACATCAGCGCCAACGGCACCGTCCTGAAGACCACCAGCTCGGGGGTCATGCAGCTGCCCGGCGGCTTCACCTTCATGCCCGGTATGTAGCATCTCAGCATCCAGACCTTTGTTACAATGTTACATTATTTTCTTTATTCATCCTAACCTCCACCTCTAGATTTGAGTCTTCCGCAGGCCTTCATGTTTTGTTAATGTCCCTGCATTGTGTAGCTTATTAGCTGATTAGAATTTGAATGGCGCCGTGCCGTGACCTCGGCCCGTCGCTCCTCTCTCAGGAGCGGTTTGCATCACATAGCCCTTCATAGCCTTCATCAGCACTCAGCGGCCTCAGGTTCTACAAAGCCTTCAGTAACCAGGAAAAGCCCCGTCTGCTGGCGAGCCGCCTGCCTTTGATTGTCACTCGTGGACAGGGATAATTAGGTGAGAGGGACACAACAGACCTCAGCACTGAGGGATGACGACCGCGGACAATAATTAGGCATGAATATTCAATGGAGGATCGGTGGCTCGCGTTGAAATTATAATTGAAGCGTACTTCGTGACGGAGCGGTCCTGAACTAGACATGACCCTTCATTAAAGAGCACTTACAGAGGCACCCTGAAACAAAAGGGATTTTTACCGACGCAATGAGGACTTTAAGGTGGCAGCGTCTCATTTGGGATCCCTAAAGAGTCTTTACCCCCACATTATTCATTACACCTCCTTTTCATGGGGGATGTGCCAGGGAAGTAATGGGGCGCCACATTGATGATTCAGATGGCTCACAATTCCCAGTGAAGACAATAAATATTTAGATTTCATCATCATTTCATAAGATATTATCTCCTCTTTATAGGGAACTGCGCACCTTCTTGGACTGTCCATGACATGAGCAATTTAAAAACACTAGTTGACACTTAAATGCTGACTGGTGCAATTTCTCTACCCTGTGTGTTATCATGGAGATAAGAGTGTGTAATGCATTGTGAAGGCAGTACTGAAGTGCAGTAATGTCACTGACTAGTTGCTGCAGTGTGACAGCTGAAACACATGATGCCCACTAATGACTGACAGCTGAAGGACAGCCACACACACACCGTCTTTGTCCCTTTTCTCCTGCTTTTTCTCTCTCCATCCTACAACCTTCTATCCCACCCTCACACTTTTTCCGCCCTATCCCTCCCCCCCTCCTTCGCTCTCCCTTTCTCCTTCTCTCCTCTTCACCACCTGTCTGGCACATAGCAGCAGTGCCAGGTGGAAAAACACCCCCTCCCACTCTGCACCTCCTCTGCTGACATCTTGAAAGGGCCGGCCCGCCCGACTGCAGCAACTGTTGATGGAGCATGTGACCAAATGTGTGGGGGAATATCTGCCATTTGTTCAGGAAAACACTTTGAAACAAGAGAATTGAAACAAATAATAAACATGAATTGACAGCCCAAAATCACCACTGAATACAGTCATACAGTTTGTCACTTATCAGCCATGTGTGTATTATTGAAGGTGTACTGTTTTTAAATGTACCCTGCCTTTTTTTTTTTGTCCCTGTTTAACCTGAACAGTGCTGCTTGAAAATACAAATGTTGTCATGTCTTCTCCCCCATGATCTGCAACTTTTAAGATGGATAAATAATAGGGCTGAAATAGAAGGAAAAAATCTCATTAGCGATTAATCTGTAGATATTTCTAGATGTAATTAAAAAATCATTTGGTCCACAGAATGTCCGAAAATGGTGAATAATGCCCATCGTAGTTAGTCAAATACCAAGGAGATGTCTTGTTTTGTTAGTCTAAACTCCGATGATATTCAGTGGAATACGATATTTAACAGAAAATTGGAAGAAATCTCCACATTCGAGATTCTGAAAACAGCTGCCATTTTAGCATAAAAAGTTACTCTAATAACAATATTATCAATATTTTGCATCAATCCACTAATCAATGCAGCTGTAAATATAATATTAAACACCTGATTAGAGCATATATAAATGTACAATATATATATATATTAGGGCCGGGACTCGATTAAAAAATTAATCTAATGAATTAGAGGCTTTGTAATTAATTAATCGAAATTAATCGCATTTTTAATCACATAAATATTTGACCTGAGAACAGTGAGAAGCAATTTTTTTTCACATGGATTTTAGTATACCATTAGGCGCATTCACACCGCAGTACTTTTCCCACAAAGGTTCATGAGAACTTAGTTCATGAGAACTCTTTGAACCTGGGGGAGGATTAGGCAAATGAAGCCGCTGACGTCACTTCTTCTTCTTCTGCTTTGGGTTTACTGGCAGGCCGCAAACCACTTCACGGCGTATACTGCCGCCCAAAGTCCCCGGCCGGAAGTCCCCGGAGTTGGGGACTGGCTTCAGTAGAAGCTGCTGGGACTCCCAGCAGCCTTCCGAGTAAATCACCAGAACGCCGACACCTCCTCATCTCCACCGCTCCCATGTTTTATTTTGTGTTGCCATAAGTTAGTCTCTCTGCGTTTCTGCGCTGGGCTAATGCTAATGCTAATAATGCTAATGCGAGGATAATAAAATGGCGGCTTCACAAAACTTTTTGGGAGTTTTACGGGGCGTGGTTTGCAATCCGCCCAGCCAATCAGAAATATAGCTATTTTCTCACAAGAGAGCCGCACGAAACTCCCTGCTTTCTAGCAGCTCTCTGCTCTCTAGCAGGGACTTTCGTGGGGGTAAAAAGGTTCTCATGAACTAATTTTAGTACCGGCTCTTTTTGGTGTGAACGCGATAAAAGAGGCTAACGTCCACGCTAGCTTCCACGCTAGCTGCTATATGTTTTGCATTGAGGTGATACTTGAGGCTTGATGTGCTGCGGTGATATGCGAATTCCTTTTTGCATAATTTGCACACAACCGTGCTCTTATCGACGCTTCCATCCGTCCGTTTTTTAAAACAACATTTCCCACTGTTGTTCACTGTGGTTTGTTGTTGTCTGAAGTCATGAACGTTAGTTGGTGCTCCAGTATAATCGGTACGCCTGAAACTCATCCAGTGAGAAACGTTCCGCGGTGCAAAAATAAGTGCGATTAAAATGCGTTAATTTTTTAACGCGTTAATTTTTGTGTAATTAATTAATCTTAATTAACGCGTTAAAGTCCCGGCCCTAATATATATATGTATGTATATATATGTATGTATATATGTATGTATATATGTATGTGTGTATGTATATATGTGTATGTGTATATATAGCATATATTATAAGGTGTATATATATAGTATAGATATATAGGATGAGACATATATTATATGTGATACTTTATATATATTAGTATACTACCTATATACTATATATGTGTATATATATTACATATCGTGTATATTTATATCATATATATATGTGTAAATATATATATTTATGGTTTATATATATAATTATATATGTGATATATATATAGTAGATATATATATGGTATGTGTATATATATATATGATATATAATATATGTTGTGTATAATATATATGTGTTATCTTATATATTATAGATGTGTAATATATAATATTGTGTATAATATATATATCTATGTGTTGTGTATATATATATATATATGTGTATATATAATATATGTGTATGTGTATATATATATATATGTGTATGTGTATATATATATATATGTATGTGTATATATATTATATATATATGTGTATATGTATATATATGTATGTATATGTGTATATTAATATATGTATGTGTGTAATATATATTATATATGTATGTGGTATATATAGTATGTTATGTATATGTATATATGTATATATTGTATATATTTATGTATGTATGTGTATATATTGTATGTATGTGATTATATAGTATGTGTGTTACTATTATCTGTTATGTGTATTATGTATGTGTCTATCATATGTATGTATGTATATATGTAATATTATGATATATGTATATGTATGTATGTCTATATATGTATATGTATGTATGATGTATATGTATGTCTGTATTATATATATGTATGTATGGTATGTATGTATATATACTACTATGTTATTGATGTTGTATAATATATATATGTATGTATGTATATATATGTATGTATATATGTATGTATGTATATATGTATATATATGTATGTATATATGTATGTATATGTATGTATATATGTATATGTATATATGTATGTATATATATGTATGTATATGTATATATATGTATGTATGTATGTATATGTATATATATGTATGTATGTATGTATATATATGTATGTATGTGTATATATATATATATATATATATATATATATATATATATATATATATATATGTGTATGTGACATAGCATCCCTAGCTAGACTGCGCTACAGCTCTATCAAGCACTTTCTTTCTTAAACCACACCATTATTTTGTAATCAAAGTCTCATTCCCCACTGTGTGTGCCCCCCTACAGCAGGCACTCCTCTCCCCCCCGGCACCCCCACCATTCCTCTGAGCCAGCTGCAGCAGCACTCCCTGGCCCTGCAGGGGCAGCATGGGCAGGCCTCCCAGCACCAGCAGGGACAGCAGGCTGTCTTCCGCTTCCCTGCTGGTGTCTCCCTCTCAGGTGACCCTCTCTGCACACTGCTGACCACACAGTCACTGTCAAAGCATCGCTAAGGGATGCTAGAGCTGCTAATGCTACCGCCTTCTGCTATGGCTAATGCATCTAATGATAGGAGTGCTAATGCTACTCGCACGTCTACTTCAGATAATAGTACGGCACAATGCTTTCACTGCCATATGCCACCCCCCCCCCCCTGCAACTACTGCTATTATTCCCTGTGTGGGATGTCGATTACTTACTGTAGTGTGTGTGTGTGTGTGTGTGTGTGTGTGTGTGTGTGTGTGTGTGTGTGTGTGTGTGTGTGTGTGTGTGTGTGTGTGTGTGTGTGTGTGTGTGTGTGTGTGTGTGTGTGTGTGTGTGTGTGTGTGTGTGTTGTGTGTGTGTGTGTGTGTGTGTGTGTGTGTGTGTGTGTGTGTGTGTGTGTGTGTGTGTGTGTGTGTGTGTGTGTGTGTGTGTGTGTGTGTGTGTGTGTGTGTGTGTGTGTGTGTGTGTGTGTGTGTGATCAGGAGCAGGCCTCCCCCAGCAGCTCCAGGCCATCCAGGTACACCACCACAACACCACCTCCAACAGCGACGGCAGCCTCGACATCTCCCACACCTCCTCAAACTCCACCGGTAGGTCAAAGCCCCCCCTCTGAACAAATAAGTTGGAGGTTTTCTTAGAGAAGCAGCTCCATCTAAAAAGACGCACATTGGTGCTCCACATGATGTAAAGAGTCTACCAGAAAATGTTGTATCCAAAAACCTTTTCTAAACTGAATTAGCATTTACAGTTGCACTTATAAAATATTGAATCTATTGAAAAATTCAATCTATAGAAGACATACTGTATCATTTTATTGTATAACTTGGGAACACACGCTCCATCGGAATTTTTGTTTGGCCTAAATAATATATCTGTTTCCTGAGTCTAGTCAAACATCGTCCGCCTTTGTGTTGCTATCCCACCTTATGCCTGACAACATTAGTGGAATTTTACACAGGAAAACCTTTCCCAAAATAGTTTTCCTTCTTCTACCAATTTAGTTTTTACTCAATCTGCTCCTGTTGTGTTATTGTGCCTGTACACACTGCATACATCAGTTGAGTTTAGTGGCTATAAAGCGCCATCTGCTGGCCAACATGTGAACACACACCTGCTGCCCTCAGTGTGACATTTCCTCCCTTCCCCCTCCCTCACCTTCTCTCCTTCCAGCGACGGTTAGTCTCCCAGCAACCATCGTCACCTCGTCTATGCCAACATCTGTTTCGGGTCACATGATGTACCCCAGCCCGCACACAGTGATGTACGCCTCGGCGCCCACGCTGTCCGACGGGAGTCTCGCTGTGCTCAACGCCTTCTCGCACGGCACCTCGGCCATGCAGGTCCACGGACAGGGCCAGGACTCAGGTGAGACTCCAATAATAACAGCTGTCATTATTTAAATGAAACATGCTGTGTTTACTGACGGACGTGTCCCCCCCCTCCCCCCCAGGTGTCCCGCAGGTGTTCCTCACAGCACCCCAAGGCACGGTGCAGATCCCTGTCTCAGCGGTGCAGCTACACCCAGTACGGCAAGATCTGCATTTTACAAGTGAAACTCTCATATTCCCTCTGCAACCAGCATGCCACGTGTCGCACTAATGCACCCTAACAGAGCACTGGCACCCAGAGGGGGTCCTCACCTGCCGCCTGATTGGAAGAATGTGAATTATCAGCTGGCAGCTAGTTTTACCTTTTGGGTTTCAACAACATACACGTGCAATAAACCAAACACCACCGTAGCCGTGCATGGATTTTAATGTAGATTCCTTCTGTAAATTGTCATGAAATATATATATATATATATATATAGGTATTTGGATGATATGCTAAGACTTTTTTCAAATGTATTAAAAAAAAGTACAGTTATCATAATATTCCCAATTTACAATATTTAGTAAAACATTCAAATATTTTCGCCCAGTGGTTCATAAAAGCTTTTCCTTCTAGTAAAAAAGAACACAAATAAAATAATTTCCTCTCTTTACAGTATATATTTTTTGGCAAGTTAGGTCTTACAACATTTGGTAGAAAATAAAGAGCCTATATAAGAAATGCAACACATGGCAGCAACGTCAGTGTCTGGTTGGCTTTCTCTCTTTATTTGTCTGCATATTCATATTGACGCTGGATTCCAGTTTACACTGTAAGGACAGTCTAAATGTGATTTGCGTCAGATTTCAGCAGTTAACGACAATAGGCCACAATAGTATTTGTATTAAACGTTTAATAGTATAATTATTTCTGAACTAATGCATGACTTTTTTAAAAACCTATTTAAATAAAAAATTCCAGTCCTTAAAGTACCACTAAAAACGATTAAAGAATTCCACCACGCAGCATGTAGTGTCAGGAGATCTTTTTGCAGTTGGCATTGTGTGATGACACGTGATTGGCCCGTGTGATACCGCCTCCTGACTGGCTGTGTTGTGTTCCAGATGGTGATTGGTCAACAGTCGAGCGGCAGCAGCAGTAACCTGACGGAGCTCCAGGTGGTCAACTTGGTACAGAACTCAAAGGACTGACAGACGGGTGGAGCTGTGTAACATGCTCCCCCCCCACCCCCCCTCCAGGGGACACACAGACTTATGTCAACTCTATTTATTGATGCCTTCCTACAGAGCTTCACATTACACTTCTGAATGTGACTTTACATCTATACACACAATCAAGGGCATATGTGTGGCTGACCCTGACACAGTATACAGTATGTTTTGGTATATAAATATATATATATTCGCAAATGCATAGGAAATATATCACGTCATCCATCATCGGAAAACTATTTTCTATGCCGTTAGATGGTGTTAATTTTGTTGTGTGCGTGTTTTTTTGAAAAAGTGTAATGACCTGTAGGTGCCACAGCTTCACACCAGCCAAAGAGACATTTGTTTGTCTGAATGTTCCAGTGTGAGCAACTCGTGCACAAGCGTGTGTGTGTGTGTGTGTGTGCGCGCATATCTGGGGTTGTAAATGGGCAGGGAGACGCTTATTGACGTAAAAAAAGAGACGTTTAGAAATGTACATATTTTTCTGCTTTTTTGATAACTTGTATTTTTAGCCTGGTTTAGTTTGTGCAACGGCATGTAGTTGTTTTTTTACGCAGTGGTTTTTGTATGTACATGAAAATGATTTGCAAAAAGATAAATTATTTACATGTATATGTAAATAATTTAATATACCATCATATGTTGAAATACTGTCATGCTGTTGGGCGTTTTCAATACAAGATGGAGAGGGAACGCTGAGTGTTTTTCTACATGATTTGATGTGACATTGATTGGATCAGGTAGCTGGGTCGCAACATGTAAACAAGATGTTTGATTTACTGTAAACATGCTCTGATTTCACTGCTGATGGCAGGGTCATTGAAGATGTTGCATGAGAGGTTTTGTAAAAAGCTCTGATCTGGCACTAGTGTGGAAACTTAACGACAATCGGATGGACATTTCATTTATCTCACGTTTTTTACATAAGACCATTTTTATTGTCATCGCACAGAAGTATGAATACATCTGAGTTGTTGCACTTATTTTGAAATCCCACAGTAGTTGATTTGATCCTTTTATGAGCAACAAACCTGAGTGCCAACAGGTTTTCACCACATTAGTGTTATTTTAAAAGCGATCCATTGTACACCTGTCACTCTGATTGGCCTCCATTGACTGCAGAACTTTAATTATGGGATGGCATTACTGACTCGAGTCAGGGCATTAGACACAAATCTCTTGTTTAACAAGACACTGTATACACTTGGAAATTCCACTTTATCAACGCGTTATTTCCTCGGATGGAAGCACTCAATGTTGTTATCACAACAGTATGAATATTTTTGTACGAAAAGGATCTCTTGTTTAGAAAAACTTCAGGTGCTTTGAAATGTTAATATAGTCCTTTACCTAGAACTGTAAGACCCTCGCTGACTGCAATCTCAGTGTGTACCTCAGCAATCATTACGGATGAGTTATCAGACTGAGAGCCTTCTTTCTGCACCATAGTGCCTCTTTTCCATGGCTCACTTTCAATCACTGCTAGGCAAGGGAAATGTAGGACTGACTTATTTCCAGACCACCGCCATGACTTTTCATGCAATCCTCTGCTGTGTCGGGAGATTTGACTCCTTTCTACAGAATGCGCTGGATGACAGAGCTGGCTTGAAGCCAAAGAGAATCTGACGGAGGATTAAACCCCCCCCCGACTGCTGTTCAGTTATCCCCTTCATGTTCACGCTCCATGTTCTCTGGTGTGTTCCTGTATCTGACGTCATCCTGCAGGGGGTGTTTGCAAATTAAATTGACATGTTAAAGACATTTAATTCCCCCATATTATTATCTAACGTTTAAGTTGTTTTAAAAAGGGGATTAGTGAACAGATTTTTGGATTTCACTTTGTCATTGAGAGAAATAGTTATTGTGTATTTTTGTTTTGTTGTACAGACATTTTGTAATAAAAAAAAAACATGATGAAACACATGAACTGCTTAAAGAATGACCACATCCACACCACAGCATGTTTTCCTTCTTTAATTGGGACGGAGAAATGTCAAAGAAACCATATTGTTCTGTATGAAACCTAACATTTAGTTGAAATGAAGATGATTAGGAATTACAATTAAATCTCCAAAGCATGGGGAGGCAGGAGGAGTGAGCATGCACCTTAATGTTTTAATAATGCATTGCACCGTCACAAAAATCTAACTGGCCGTGAGTAGGAAGAATCATCCCATTTAAACACCAGAAGAGAAGCAGCGATTAACGTAAAGAAACGCAACATGATACAGTGATTGGTCGAAGCCATCGAGGGTATAAATCAATTGGCTACAGAGTCCTGTACATCTTCCAAACTAAGCCGATGTAACACAAGATAGTAAAACACAACAAAATGGTAGTGACGCAGAGTCCACAGTGAAAGTAAGGCATCACATCTCCAGCTAAGAAATCCTCACAGACTGCCTTTCCTTTCTTTCAACAATGAAAAATAATGTTTAAGCATGCATTTACACCAGGTAGTATCTCTATATTGCTATTGTACACATACAATGTACAGTTGGAAAGATAGTTGATTAAAAAAATGTGCATGATTCGACAATTTAAAAAAAGGTTTCCCGTTAAAATAGAAATGTTACATCCTAGGTTTCTTCTTTTTTTGGTTTCTGAAAACATTTGGAGAAAAAAAAAGAAGCTTTTTGTCGTATATTTACATTATGAACGAGCAAAGATGAGGAAATGTGCAAAATGTGATTCCATGCAAGCTGCTGCATAATGTAGAGGAGGTGCTTGAGTGATGGGATTAAGGTGGGACCAGAATAAGAAGAAGGGGGGAGGGGGGGGGGGGGGACGACGACGACTAATAAGATTAGCGACACATGGCTCCAATGAATGACTGTCCACTCTCCACCGCATGATAAATCAGAACACTCACACGTAAACAAACTCAACACGCTTAGCAACCAAGGACACATCACACTGGTAACACAACAAGCAGCCATTAAGAAGCACCTTGATGTAGATGAATTCAATCTTACGTCATTACTTACAGATACACAAGGTGATTTTAAGTTCCCGACCCCTTCCCGAAGTATCCAGGCAATTGTTTACCAATCAACCGGTTCCAACAACACAGCACATCGTCATTTACAATGAAGGACAAAAAGGCAATACTGCAAGTAAACGCAACACCAAACAGGAAGTCATGATTACAGAGGGAGGTCTGGAACCCGACAAAAGGGTGTCAAGATAAATGTGATGAGATGATAAACTACGGCAGAGGATTAGGGCCGCGTGTGAATTTGTTCATCATTCTACTTTCTCAGAATTCCAGATTCAAGTCGGAACAAACAAAAAGTAAATTAACTAAATAACTTTGGGTAGAATGTCAAAATAATGATTCACGTGGTTCCTTTATCCTCTTCCGTACTCGACAGTGTTGCTGGATAATGAACAGTTGCTACACACATTTTCTTTTTTCAAATGTTCTTGTTTTCTTGTAAATGACGCGACAAACTTTAAATAAATTGCAAATAGCCCCATTCTCTGCAGTTTAGCCACTGCTGTATGTTTTAAGATAATAATGCATTTAAGATACTGGTAAATCAAATCAAGCGGTTTGCTGCTCTGCATTCCATCGATACAATTAAGTCATTATTGAGAATTAATAATGGTTTAAAAAACACGATAACAATCCCTTGGATCAAATAAACACTGGTGTGTGGGATTTGAACACTGGGTCTGGAGAACAAACACTAACGTGGAATCAAAACAAAACGTCTCTACCACAAATGCCAACTTCCTAAAAAGCATGAATAATGTAACGAGTGCAATGAGGTCCGTGTGCAAATTCACACAATTTGCCAAATTCTATTTTTTCTTTGGGTGATTATTACAGACGAGCTTTGAGAGCAAATGCATTTAAAGACACACTTAAGAAAGAAAACAAATTAAGTCAGTCCTTAGTTTGACTGTTTTAAATTCATATTAATATGACATTAGTTAAAAAGGCAACCTGAAAGCAAACAATAAATAAGACTTGGCATTTAAAATATGAGTGCAGTATCTTAAATACTACAGTTCATCATGTATGTAACTACAGGTACATATCGGGGGGGAGGGGATTCTTTTCTCTACAGCTTCTTGTCTTCAAACAGACAACACATGAGGATTCAAGATGAAATTGTTCCAAAGGAAACCATCTGTAACTGAAAGGTGCGAAACCACACTAAGGCAAAGACGTTTACAGATGTGTGATTATGGGACAGACAATAAATACAAACAGTTTTTCTCCACGGTAGAATAATTACAGGGCGGTCCTCTTTTGGCTGGTGGGGGAGAAAGGGGGGGGGGAGGAGTGAGAGGCTAGAAAAAGTCATGTGACCGTCTCTCTGCACCTCCTCCTCTCTGCTGGGGGGAGGGGATAGTGTCTGGGCTCTGACCGTCTCAAAAACAAAAACAGGACCAAAGACTGTTGAATAGTGGCCAGAAGAGGAGGGGGGGGCTTTAACAGTCTTACAACGACAGCAGTTAGTGGTAAAGTTCTGCTGACCCTGTTACAGTGGGACCGCCGCACCCCGCAGGCCCAGTTCACCTCTGACCTGCCCCCCCTTGATGGCTGATTGACAGGTGGGAGGGCTCACGGTGAGGAGGAGGAGGAAGCTGCGTGGTATTTGACGAAGGCAATGGCCGCCAGCTCCTTGCAGAACTCCTCCAGCACGATCACGCCCTCCAGCAGAGTCATGTGGTCCACACTGCGGGGAACACACAGAAAGGGGAGGAGTCAGGAACGGAGGTCATCTCAGAAGTGTGCTAATAAACACTTTGAATTAGATTTGACTTATAATGTATGAATTCTCTATTTCATTTAAGGCTTGCTAGCTTTTTAGATAGCTTTAGTTTAGTTTGAGGTTTTAACACTAGAACCGCCACCGGGGTCAAATTGACCCAGCATCAGAATGCATTGATTTTCAAGGTAAAAGTATTGCTTTAAAAAGAAAAAATGGTCCTGTGGTATTGGTATTTTGACAAGCAATTTAGTTAAATTGTTTCGTTTATTAATACTACAACATAGCGTTTCGTGAGGCGGTTGTCGTTGTTGGGTGAAAAGCAAACAGCTGTTTGCTGCGGAGCACGAGCGCGCTCCCGTGAGCGCGCTCCTTCACTACAGACTGTCGCTATCAATCTATCTCTCTCTCAATCTATAAGGAACCGCAGTAGATAAAAGGTGTTGCTATAGCAACATGTCATGTTTGTTTACACGCAAAATCAATAGCACGAAAAGGGGTGGGGTCAATATGACCCGCTTGGCGGAAATAGGTATAAATGGCAATTTTTTGGGCGATTTCTTCAATCTGACTTCATATTGACCATTTTTAACAACATAGGGTGCTACATAACACACTTTCAGGAAAAGTCACGGACTGGGAGACTCTAATATGTTATTGAAAAAAAGTTACATACAATACAAAAACAGCTCTGGGTCAAATTGACCCGATTGGCGGTTCTAGTGTTTAAAAGACATTTCTCTTCAGTATCTTTTCACTAACACAGAATGACCTCAGCTTTTCTCCTAAGTCCAGTGGGTTTACATTAGTTCAGATGTGAAGCTTGATGAATGTCATTAATCAGCTACAATGTTTTGATCAGGTATTTGTTGACCAGACTGAAATCAATTGTTCCACAGTCTCATCTCCTGGTGCTCACACACAGGTTAAAATGTCAACTGAAATGAAATGATTTTTTTATTTATATTATATTTTTGGGGAAACAATATTGTTACCAGGATACCATTTTGAACTAGTTTCTGTTTTAATAAAAACAAACTTGGCTGCTCATTTTGAGTTTATGATTACTACTCAGAGAATGCTCAGTGGTGTGTGAGAGGTACATACTTGATGCCCTCCGGCTCCAGACCTAATAATCTCTTCCTGACGAGCAGCAGTTTGGGGGTGAAGTCTGGGATTCGCTGGATCCTCAACATGAGATCTCCCACCACCTAACACACACACACACACACACACACACACACACACAGACAATAAGACAAATTAGGAATTACATAAAAACAATATACCTGCTTCCTTACATCTCTGGGCAACGGTGCATCACTCATAAATCTATACTACACCCTTTGGAGACATTACGGTCATAATTACCATAAACAAACAAGACTATCAACAAGCTGCTTCCAGCTGCCTCTACTGGCTTTAACACAGTGTGCTACTAGGACAGATTTAAATAAAGTTGGGCTGAATTGCAGAATAAGTGGGTACAGAGGTGCAGTTCTTCAAGTGATTGCAGGTAAAGTAGCAGCATGCTCAGAAGGTTAAAACAGGAAGTGGGATTCACTGAAACTCTTGCACCAATAATAGTGGCATGAGATAAAGGCCAAACATGTTGAAATCAGAGTTCCCGTTAGCCGGTAATTACCGGACTATGACCGGTAAAATATGCTGAAGACCGGCAAATCTAAATCTCTCAAAATAATTTCCCTTTAGCGCAATACCGCTTCAGTTGCGCCACTTATGTGACAGACAAGAAGAGTATGTGACAGACAAGAATAGTCAATTCTAATGTCTAACACTTAATGTGGAGAAAGAGATGTCCTGTTGGGTTGATTGTGCGTTGATCTGTTGGTAATGCCTCGGGGTTTCCGGTGGGCATGTAAACAAATGCATAATGCTGCGCTATACTTTGCGGCCTCACCCGGTTGCATAGCGACACTTATTGTTTAGGTGTCTTTTAATAAGCAGGTAGTCATATCATTAGCTAGATCTAGCTGGATCTGATCGATATGGACATAAACGCGAGTGAAGTCTAATCTGACGGGAGAGAGAGATCAGCTGCTGCTGACGCAGCGGTGAGCGGACAAAACACACTCTTCAGGTTAGAATATCACACGTAGCTATTTTAATTACCTCTCAAACTACCTAAACTAGTTATAGATATGTTTAGTTTTACTGTCGGGTCACTCATCATTACTGATCCGCGAGCTGCATGATACTGAAGGGCTGTCAGGAGAGGGAGAGAGCGCTCTGTGTATTATTCCCGTGTTATTGTAAATTACAGTTCACTTTTGAATAATGTAGTTAATCTACTATTATTAGTTTGTTTAATATCGAATTATATCAATTTGTTTTAAAGCACAATAAATAACAAAGAAGACCTTTGACCGGCACTTTTCAAATTTTGTCCGGAAGATTTAAACTTTAATTGACATGTTGACCGGCGAAAAAATATTCTAACGGGAACTCTGGTTGAAATACAGTATCAAACATTGCATGAGAGTACACAGCAGAGGTGGGACCAAGTCATTGTTTTGCAAGTCACAAGTAAGTCTCAAGTCTTTGCGCTCAAGTCCCGAGTCAAGTCTCAAGCAAGGATGGGCAATTTCAAGTCCTAAACTTTGAAAAACCGAGTCTTAAAAAGGTCCCATGTCAAGCTTTTCTGGTTATTACCCGTCCCCTTGTGTGTTCTGTAGATTGTTCTGCAGAGTCACAACCCCTCAAAGTACACCCTGCAGCGAGTACAACTCTAACACAGAAAATACCTGTCTGTGCTGCCCCAGAACGCCTCGTTGGACATTTCTCTTTTTCTTCCTGGGTACAGTGACGTGCCCTTACCCAAATGGACCCATTGGTCGCCGCCACACACACACACACACACACACACACACACACACACACACACACACACACACACCACACACACACACACACACACACACACACACACACACACACACACACACACACACACACACACACACACACACACACACACACCACACACACACACACACACACACACACACACACAACACACACACAACACACACACACACACACACACACACCCACACACACACACACACACACACACACACACACACACACACACACACACACACACACACACACACACACACACACACACACACACACACACACAGAAAAGAATTGTACGTCCTACGGCCACCATGGCCTGTGTGCCGCTGATACTGTTAAAACCTCGAAGTTGCTTTAAAAGCATCAGAACAGTTTCTGAACTGCATTATGCTGCGTTCAGAACGGACGCGATGCGAATATTCTCATCGCTCTAACCGCCGGAGTTTCACCGCGGCTTTCAGCTGTGTTTACTCCCGTCATTCAAACAGGACGCACTGGAGAGGGGGCGGGGCTTATATCCATGTAAATACTGGTGATTTAATTGTAATACACGTTTCAAAATGATACCGAAGTAACTAAATACTGATAACGGTGTGCAGAGAAGACGGCAGGCGAAAAACCTTTAAAATGTGTGTTCTCTGAATGGAGCGATCTCCATTCGATCAGATCAGGCTAAACTAACCTGTAGCTGCTCCGTCCAAACTCACAACAACGTCCTAAAGACAGAAATAAAGCAGCGACTGTATTCGCTATGACACAGACAGTCTGTGGTTTGTACTTGTTTAACTTTTGTCTAGTTTCTGAACAGATATGAGGAGCTGTGAGGACACACACACACCAAAGTATTACTTGTTCATACAGTTGAATGCTTGAGCTTCACTGTGCACTGCTGAATGATTTATGTGCAGAGTTTGACTCTTGAAGGCTGTTTCTTCTGCTCGGAAATTGAATATATTTGTTACATATTAATAGAATTTTTGATTTGATTTTGGATTTGATAATGGGAGAAGTAGTAGATGGAAAAGACACCAAACACTAATTATTCAAAGTAGAGTATTTCATTGTATATACGGTAATACTAAGGAGCCTTAGACCTATATGAGGATATAATGTTTGACATTATTGATATTAAAAAAGTGATTTGTTTTCCATGTCATTCGTGTGTTTTTCTTATCAGAAAGTGAAGTTATTTATTCGTAAGCTCCAAATCCAAATGTTTCCCTCAATGGCCTTTGTGCCCTGGCATGTGGCCTTTGCACCCTGAAAAAATGTGTGACACCAAAGGCCAAATGGCCGTGCCCCTAAAATGACGAAAATCCAAGCCTGGTCATCGGCCTTCATTTGTTATGTTTTTAAAAAGGCATCATTGAAGTTGCACCGACAGAGGTCCGCCGTTTCCCCGCAGCGAGGCTCCCCACCAGTTGACAGTTCTCCCCGACGGGAGTCTGCTCTTCTAGCGGCAGCTCGCGATCAACATGTTGGAGACCCCTATATTAAAGTATCAAGTCACCTCAAGTCAGAAGGTCCAAGTCGAGTCGCAAGTGTTTTGTCGAGTCCAACGTCATCAAATTGGTGACTCGAGTCTCAGTCATGTGACTCGAGTCCACACCTCTGGTACACAGTACAGTATAACAACAAGACATCTTTAGGCACCTGCTCCAGTGCGTGTACGCCGTGGGAAGAGCAGTGCTGCCATCAACAATAGATAAGATAAAGTGTATAATCTAGCCTCACCCTGACGATGACGGAGAACAGGGACCTGCAGCCGGGGGCCAGGTTGATGTAGGGGTCCAGCAGGTACTCGTGCAGGTGGGGGTGCGGGAACATGGAGAGCTTGGAGAGCACAGCGGTCACCTGCAGGTTCACATCGTAGGGCTGTGGGACAGAGAGGAGTCAGAGAGGAAGCTACACAGCGAATCAGCTGCAGATTCAATCAATGTGTAGAACAGCTCTGAATTATTAACACAAACTAACGCACAGTCAGAAGCTCTTACTGACTCGTCACTAAACACAGCTGCGATAAGAGCTGCCAAAAAGTGCATTTCGCTAAAGAATCTGCATATTCCCCATCCAACATGATTAGTCAAATGAGTTTATGGCAAGAGCTCATTATATTTTTTTGTTTGGAAAAATAAAAAGGCCTCTGCATAATCATTAGCTCACTCACATCATGTCCGTTTCTTCTCCACTTTCCATTAGAGGGATTCATTTAGGCGTCATCACAGTGAACTGTTCTCATACAGCAGGAACATTTAGATCTCAGTGTAATTACATCTTTTTAAACTAATATTGCTTTTTTAGGAGCGATGGCTCTCTCTGGGTTTGACCTTAAATAGGCTTTGAAATGATTTGCATACAGAAAGCGTGTCTAATTCACTGGAGTCTGGTTGCACACAGCTTGATTAATCAGCTGAGGACTCAACAACCTTTCAAACTTGAGAAAATAAATTATTGTGCAACTTATTTGCTCCATAAACAACAGGCAACCTTTTTATGGATGTGTTTACAGCCTGAATGTGTAATTCGTTTTTTTCTTTGGGCATCTTGCTATTCAGACAGGTGGCTCTTAGACAATGCAACAGATTTTACAAACATATATTTCAACACCTTGGCATGCAGTTGTTCTGCAGATATTTGTAATATGGAGGGTCACCTGATCGAGGATGCGGCCCATCCTGTCGAAGAGAACCTTGAGGAAGTGGCCCTCGAAGAACGGGCTGTCCAGGTTACACTTCTCTAAAGGTTTTGGATTCCCCCTCCAGTCCCACCGCTGGCAGACCCCACAATAGTCCCTGAACTGAGGAGGACAATATATCCACACTTTAATATCTCTTCTACTAGCTACAGAGGAGAAAACTGATTAGCAACAGTACCCACAGAGGGCATCAAGCGATAAGCATGCTGTAGAATGAGCCTCACCTGTCTGTGAGCGTCTCTGAGGTAGGTGTCATAGCCTGTGCCTTCGACTTGATACGATGACTTGGCCTCATCAGGCACCAAACACAGGAAACTGCAGGCAGCAATATTTCAATGTTATTGACAACTAAAGGGCTCTGCATGCTGCGTGTTGTGTCAGCAGCAGACTGTGTGTGTGTGTGTGTGTGTGTGTGTACCTGTTGACGATCTTGTGGACCTCCGTCTTGCCGTCAGACTTTGAGTTGTCAGGACTCTGTGGTGGAGACGAGGTGAGCCAATCAGATCCGGATAGCCTGCTATCAGGAGAGAGGTCATCCCCGAACAGTGGATCCTCCTCAAGGTCTCTATGGACAGAACACATGTTGATATGACCTTTCTATTATTGTTGTATGCGTAATGTAAGGGATTCTAATTTCTATTCTGCATTGTACTGAAGTCCACTTTCTCTGTATTTCATTGTGTATTTAAAAAGGGGACATATGTACTGTTTTATGGAATGATAGCATATTAAGGCTTATTAGGTGTACCATTAGATACTGGTGTGTAGTATGGAATTGTAATCAATGTCTACTGTACATGATGTAGGGATGAGGTTTTACTGCATTTACTGTACCTGTATGATATTACTAAGTATGTTTAAGTGTGTCTGTATAGTCCCTGACTGTCTTCAGCTGTTCCGTGAACTCATCTCACCCTCTTGAAACAATGATCATGTAAACCCAATATTACAGTGTTCTATTTGGAGACTTATTTCCTCTGTATGAGAACTATGAAGCAACATTAATATAAAACTATAAGCAAGCTATTGCTCGGAATGTATCATCTCCAAAAAATTATAATTAAAGTCATAGCTGGTTGACATGCATTCCCCAAAAAACATGTCATAAAAAGATTGAATCCCCAAAAGAAAGGAAGGTTTTTGCTGAAAAACACAGCGAGTTGATGCATTCACTTTATTTCCACTGGTGTGTGTTTGTGCAGATGATTTTCCATGCAGGATTATAAGGCAGCAGAGGGGAGGTCAGAGGCGGGTCCTTACACAGCATCGTGGGGCAGCCCGTTCTCCAGGGGCTCCCGCTCCTCCTGGGGTTTGTTCTCCAGGTAGTTCCTCTCCCCCAGGCCGCGCAGCACCAAGCTGTGCAGGATGTGCTGGTTGGGCTTCTGGATCAGCTGCTCAAACAGCCGCAGCGTCATGATGCTGATCTGAGGACAGAATGAGGATCAGCTCCCACCTTAAACCCAACAACCTGCCAATATTTGCTAACTGACTAAAAAAAAATGTAGGCAGTGACTTCAAACATCAAAGACATGACTCATCTCTCTCTTGAGTGATGAAAATGTGTGCAACAGTCACTATTTATAATGAATTTGGATTATCATATGAATCACTGAGAATTTGAAGGGCAGATGGACAGTTATCACACTTTCATTGTTAAGGCACATTTATGATCACAAAAGGGTGGAAAAGAATCAGCCAGACATGAATGATGTCACATTTGTTATCATAACCAAGTACTTCCTGAATCAGATGTGAAAAGTACCTCGTCTGAGAGATGGTCGCAGTGCTCGATGAGTCTGTGTCGCAGTGGATTCTGAGCCACAGTCGCAGCGGTCTCTGGCTCCGTCTCCTCTCCCAGCAGGAAGTAGATCATCTCCTGCAGCAGAGCCTCTGAGGTCACCTGCCTGATGATCCTGTTCAGCAGGGCCGTGGAGGTCAGGATGCCCACCTCCGACCTATGTGCACCCACAAACACACCACATGTTAATGAGCAGTCACCCAACTGACAAGACGTATAAAAGGCTGATTGATTGATTGATGACTCACGTCTGCATCAGCTGCGGCTCCATCACAGACACAAAGAATCTTTCCCTCACATTTCTTGCCATCACTGCTGCTGCTGACTGGAAGACAAAACAAAATGTACTTCAGCCTTCTGTGGCGTTCAGATAACAAAAACAACTTCAAGTCCTTTGATTCTGACTACAATGTGACACATGAAAACACAGTGAGTCAGCGTGGGACCTTCTGAGCCTCCTTGATGAGCTGGTCACAGTAATCTAGCCACGACAGGAAGGAGATGAGAGGCCTCTTTCCTGTGAAGATAGCAGCATCCTCCTTCAGGTTATACACGTCCAGACTGAAAAGAGAGAAATAAAAAAAAGGTAGAAATATTAAAAAGCTTGATGATGAAACTCCATTTATCCACTAAAAATAGCATTTTTACACAGAATGCTATTTAGGGGTGTCGCTGCCACGTCAAATTAAAAGCAAGACTTCAGATGGTAAAACAGCTCTTTACAATTCTTTGAATATGTGAAAGAAATGTACCCCCAGTTAACAGACTCCACCGTCTCGATGTCCAAGGGGTCCATGGACTGTGGCAGGGCTTTATAGAAGGACACCAGCCTGTCAGTCAGCAGCTCACAGAGTCCTGTGTTTTCTGTTAAACACTTGGCAGCTGCAGGCTCTGGCAAACTGACCAGCAGCATCAGACCCTCGCATGCCTTCACCACTATCCTGCCATCCTGAGAGCAGAAGAAATGGATACAGCTCATGATTTAACATTCCACTCAAATAGAAAGGACGGCTAAATAAATCTTCAATGGGGATTACTTACGGGGCTCTTTGTGAGGTTGAGCAGCGATGTGACGAGATTGTAATTGTTGCCGTTATTGTTGTTATTGGTGGGACTAGAGGTGGAGGCAGCAGCTGCAGCTTCCTCTGGGTGGTCAGCCCGCCCCATTGCTGCAGACTGACCGGTGTCTGGATCCAACACATTGTCCTTCCCCGCCTCCGTAGGTCTCTTCGCCTCAGGTCGCTTTGATTTGTTCTGCAAATAACACAACAAATTAAAGGTTCTTCTGAACTTAAACATAATACAAGGCTCTTTCTTACAATAAATATAGATTGACATTTAGGAATGAGATGCTCAAATGTCTCTCTCTGGTGTCATAGCAACTCACCTCGAGGAAGAAGTTGACAAGGTATGGGTCCTGCTTCAGTTTGGAACAGACTATACAGAGGAACTGAATCTCTTCGTTTTCTGTAGGAGCAGCCAGCACATCTCCACACAGACGGACCAGTTTCTGTCAAAGGAATTTCACAGCGACATGGGGAAAAAAGTAAAGGATAAGTTACATAACCTCACTGTTAGTGTACCATTTTGAGGAGACGGATTATCAGAAAGACACTGAAATCCAGACTACATCACTTCTCACCTGCACAGGTCTGTGGACATTGATGTGTGGCAGGAGAGGTTGACGAATGTGTGCTAGCAGCTTTGTGTAGAAGGTGAGCACCTGCTGCTTCATCCCCGGAGGACACTGATGAAAAATTACATTTAAAAAAAATTAAAAATAGAATATGTTCAAATGTGCTTTATACCTATATAGATGTGTCGCCACCATGAGTGGAATTTAGCCAACATTGCGGATTCATTTAAGAGCATAGCGAAATTGTGTCTTCTGATCTGATTGTACAATCACTGTTGTGTCTAGCCTCCCAAACTTCCATGGGCCAAGTTCCCATACATATCAGGGCCATATGTGTTATCTATATTTTCCTGGGGGTATAGAACATGTAGTTACCAAAGCATGAATGCCTTACATCTGCCTTTCCCAAGGTGTAGAGAGTCTCGAGGATCTTGTGGTGGAGGAGATACTCCATGCAGGGCCCCGTCTCTCCAGACTCCCTCTCCCTTTCCTCCTGGGTCAGGATGTCCAGCATCTGTTCCAGGTGGGATGGGATATTGGTGTCTGTGACTGGAGCTTTGTCATCTAAGAGGGGAAAACACAGATATATGTCGGAACCTTGGTATGTCCGTGAGATACATGCATAAAGAAAAAGGCCATGTGCCAAAAGCTCCAGCAATTGTTTATCTAACCACTTCAATTCAACTGCACAGGTATCTCCCCAAAAACAACAAACAAATGTTAAAACCATACATTTGATGTCATATTTGTTTGAAACCATGTGTAAAGTTAACTGTTTTGATGTAACTCAGTCCAATGTTATTTGATGACATACAATCTTTTTTTGTCAAGTTGCGGTAAAATCTTATGACAGTAACCATTTCTCACTGCTTTTAAATGGCACTACATGTATTGTAAAGCACATGCAGACATTGGTGAGTTGCTGACAACAGGCTGTTTACTCATTAGCAGAAGTGAGTAAAGGAAGGCAGCATGACAGAAAAGCATGCACCTTTCACACAATGCTGCGTATGATAGAACGACTGCTGCCAAATATGAATAAATAGGGGAATGCTGTGCATTAAATCAACTAAGGTTGCGCATGTCTGTCACGCTGAAAGTAACAGAGCACACAATGCAGTCAATAAGTCAGGTTAATGTCACAAAGATAAATCACAACCATTTTCATCAAAATAATCAATTATTTCTCAAGTGGCCTTGGAAGTATAGAAGAAGTTAATTCAAGTCACAAGTCTGGAAAATCTGTGATTAAATGCCCCTGAAAACTAGCTCAGCATAACCCTCAAAAGTACAGATAATCCCCCCTCAGCTGTTCAGGGTGTATTTTGTTGAACTGGCCAAACTAGAAGAACTGCTGAGAAGAAGCTGTGGTTTGGGATAATGAATACGAGATTCAGATTTTACTACCGCAAAATACACAGACTAGACGGCAGAAATGTTCATTGAAGTTGTCTTTACTTGACTGGCTTTAGTTGCCAAGTAAATCTTAGTTGCGACTTGACGCAGAGTATATTTGTTCAACTTGCATAGATCCCACAAATTGAGATATATTGCAAACTCAACCAGCATAACAGTTCCAACATAATTAAAAATGGGCAATTTAATTCAGATTTCTTCACTACCATTCCATTTGCACTTCCTGACTAATGCTACATGTTGACAATAAGTGGATTAACAGCAGCAAATATACTGTTATCTGTTACTGTAATATAAACAAGCCTACATACAGTCTGACAAACTTAGTTTCCTGCCATTGTTTATATCCACACTGGTCCTATCAATGCGGGACAAACTGTGAAAGCAACCTGCATACCAATCAACATCTGGGAATATCATGATTTATCCATTAAAACATTTCTTACCAGATGTCTCGATGTAATAATGTGTAATTGCCTTCCAGTGATAGACAAAGTCCTCCTGCAAGGGCAGCGACGGGGCAAGCTGAAAAAGACAAAATGCAAACATAGACGTTGTTGTATGTTTACACTGGTGGGGAGGAGAGAAACACCCATTATCAGGGCAACATGTTTACATAAGTCAGTAACTTCCAACCGACTTAGTTAGGAGACAGGTTGTTCTGGGGAAATGTATATCTTCTAGCAATACTGTCACTTTCAATAATACCTTCTCAGTGTTGAACAGATGTAATGTGCCACTACAATATGACTTTGATAATGGTTTAAACGTGTTGTGAATAGAGAGCCATATGTCTGGAAAACAAGTTAGTAATAATTTAACAAGCAACTGTTACGCCAGAAGACTAAAGTGTTCACCTGCCAGACGTATTTTGTTTTTAAACACTTGACTTGAAGCCGCTTGAAACTGTTTTAAAGCCATGCTATACAAGGTTCTTAGCTAGATGACTAACATGTTATATTAGGCTTTAAAGAAAGGCTGTGCGAGATAACCCACAGGCTTTTGCTTTAATGTTAAGGTTAAAACGTTTACGCAACATTGAAGCAGGTGGTTCAGTGGTTTCGACACCACTCCGCCTGAAACGAAATAGCTAGCTACAGCAATACTTTAGCTTTTTGGGTCTGTTTTTAGCTAACATTAGCGGCTAACTAGCTAAGCTAGCCTTACTACATTAAACACGTCTTGCTCCACCGAAGATACAAAATGACAACACTGAAATGTGTTAGTTTGTGGTACAACAGAACAGACAAAGAGACAACCTCACGGATATATTATCGATAAGAGGGACGAATAAGTTGGCATGACAAACACAAAACGCTAACATTAGCTTAGGCTAATTGGTTAGCTCGCCAGTTAGCAATGTATCTCTTATGCTGACGTTATGGTATGTTGTGTCTGGACGACCAAGGACCCCTTTCAACTGAAATACACGATAAGAAATGCATGCCAATGGATAAATAAATGTTGTTTTTGAAAAATAATACTCACCGCTTCAACAGCATGTTGAAGAATGGACGTAAATTTGGAAAACATTTTGTTCTTTGACTGGACTAGTTTCTCCCGAGAAGACCTAGAGAATTCCTCTATCTTCTTCTTCCTGTTGTTGCCGCCTCGATCCAGATTGGATTCATACACTGACCCTTGTAACGAAATAATAAAGGTAAGCAATAAAACCGTAACACGTTGTCTGCCACAGGTCTTCAAAGGCCTGGCACAACCACTGTAAACAAGACAGCCACAGACTCAAGTATCGTCTGGGTCTTCTCACTTTGGACACGGTGGCACTTCCCTCGCCAAACGCCTCTCTTTCTAATCCACCAGGGGGCGCAGGCACACAAGGCACCGGCTAATAATTACAGACCACCATCAATGCATACAAATGAAGACATAAATAGCCTACATACAATCAGGGACGATGTTCTATTTTTACAGCTTGGGATCAAGAATCATTAACCCCACGTCAAATATATAGTAAGTATGGAATTCCGATAACCAAGCAATGTGTTATTTCGAAAATATCCGCTGAACTGCAAAATCAATTGATTGCTCCCATAATACACGGACTCGGCTATTCTATGATTTTGCAGTGTTTTTTGTCACATAGAGCTGAGTTAACGCATGCTTTAATCCCACTGATTTTGATTTTTTTTTTTTTAAGAGCCCACGTGAGGAAAATAACGCCAAATATTTCCCTTTGAGTAGCTGGATTAATGGAGGAAAAAATGAGAAAGAACATGCATTCCTCCATAGTGCCTGTCAACTTTGTGATTTAGCCCAACTACCACGTCCGAAACAGCACAGTCATCCCAGATACAAGTAGGCGGACCAGACAGCAGCTGCAGACGAGGAATTCAAAGAATCAATTCATTTATAACTCCCTAATAATTATTTAATGGTACACTATGTTCAAATATGGACGTAAACTTGTCGGGAAATTGGAAGGATGCTGTCTGTTCCAGGACACGCCCTGTCGCTGGAAAGTGCTCTAACCATCGTGCAGTCTAGTCTAGTCTACCAAATCGCGGGCTGCATGCTTCCCTGCGTTTAATCCCAACAAATGACAGGTAAAAATTTAAAGAACAGATAATATCCGGCTGTCAACTGGTCTCTCCCCCCCCCCCCCCCCCTTACAGCTGCACCGGGGCATCTCCTCCTGGTTGTCTCGGTAAAGAAAGAGAGGCTACCTACCGGGCATGTCTGCTAAAGGTGAGTATCTTTTGCCGCAGAAGCCTTCATGACAATACACACACACACAGGGAAAAAAGTATTTTAAATGGCGGGGGGGGGGGGGGGGGGGGGGTGGTCTTGGTTCAACGATGGATGCAATGGATAGCCCATTTGCGTCTTCTTTCGTGAGGATCAGGCTGTGGTAATGACTGTTATTCTAAGTAGGTTACACCGGTACATAGCTGAAACTACAGCTTCCACTGCTGCAGCCCTTTCTACACAGCCTACAACTTATTCTGTAGATATAAAACACTCTTTTGCAATCTATAAATAGATCACACTTTTTTAAATTTTTAAACCCCAGCTGTGATATTGAATGTTGTCTGATTGATGTTTCCTTCGCTATTCTTAGTAAGGGATGGGGCACTTCATTAGTTTAAGGTGGGCACACACCCTCATTGTTGCATAAATGAAGCAATTGATGGAAGACTTGTAGCATATGGTGTTCATTCTTAATAGGTTGTATTACAGTGGGCTTGTGGAATTCAGTGTAACAGTAGCCTATATAAAGCTAGTGAGGTGGCAATAAGTAATATATTTTCAGGGAAATGGAAAATAAATCCCAACATTTGGTGCAGATGCTGTTTTCATTTCTTGTGCATAAATCCGTTAATACCTGCAGGCGGAGGTTTGTCCCCATCAGGTGGGCTGTGGTGGATTTGTGGCAGGTGACTGAGATAAAGAGCCTCCAGCTGTTCCTGCTGTAGGTTGTGATTACACAGCTGGATATATATATACAGAAAAGTTGCCATATGAACCTGACCTCAAGGTTATTGTATCAAATCTGCAGTTGGATCCATCATGATAGGTCTTCTGTTATTGTGTAAAGCCTTCATAGTGTACATAATGTCACTCCCCTTCACACTCTCTATGGTTGAGCCAGCATTAACAACATGGCTTTGAACTCCCCCATCACTGATGTGGCCTCCCTGTTCTGCATTGCTGCGGGACGAGATCGATGGCAGCTCAGAGCCCACCCGTTTTATGGACCACCGTGGTAATTAGATCTGATTAGCCCTTGCAAATCATTATCCATGAAAAGTAACTGTGGCAGTTACCTCTGTGGTGGTTACAAACATGGGAGGTTTCTATTTGTATTTTCACAGGCCCATTGATTTACACAGTCCTTGTAATAACATGTCAAATCAAAGAGATATTTGTCCTGGGCAAGGCCGAGTCAATACATTCTAAATTGTCCTGTCACATGTACTGGGGAAGTTGACTTACACCATGTTTTCCAATATTTCAACAAACAACAGTGTTTTTGTGTAGAAAATTATTCAGACAATTTCTTTGTATTTTATTATATTATTTTCTTTCCAAATGTAGTTTTATTTGTAGACAATCTGTATTCATGATTTGAACAGTCATAATATTTATTAAATATTTTTTATCTACAGAAAATGTAAACCATCCTTAAATCCTTTAAAGGGGCCCTATTATGCTAATGTTCAGGTTACATATTAGTATATTGTGCCTTTACTGTGACATGTTTACTGCTTCAATGTTCAAAAAGGTCTTTATTTTCCTCGTACCGCCTGTGCTGCAGCACTTCTTCAATCAATCAATCAATCAATCAATGTTTATTTATATAGCCCAATATCACAAATGTTACATTTATCTCAGTGGACTTCACAGTTTGTACAGAATATCAGTATGACAATACGACACCCTCTGTCCTTAGACCCTCACATCGTACAAGGAAAAACTTCCGAAGAAAACCCACAGTTCTTTTCACCCTCCGTCTGAAACCAGAGCCCAGTCTGCTCTGATTGGCTAGCTGGCTGGCTCTGTTGTGATTGGTCAACAGCTTAGAGGTGTCCCGCCGCTTAGCCTATCTTTTGCAATGTGTTGGAGCGCAAGCCAATACAAGTGCAATTGTGACATGGGATGTCATTATGGTAAGAAGTAAACAAAGGAGTCAAATCAATGCGTTTCAGGCAGGGGGGGGGGGAGTGTTTGGAATATAAACTCAATTGGAGGGAACTTTGTAATTTTAGCCTTTGCATACCATTTACATGCCCCAAAACCTATATAATACCCTACAGGGAATGGGAAAACCCAAATATCATAGGGCCTCTTTAAGTCAAGCAGAGTGGAAACATTTTCCAATTCCAACTTTCAAACTGTTATGATTCACTGTTTTTCTTTTTCATATGTGATAGTAAATGTAATATCTTTGGTTGCAGTGCCAAAACAAGCAAATTGAAAGAATCACACTGGGCTTGGACAAATGTATGATGATCTGACATTCATACAGGAAACGATTTAGAACCAAAAAATGAATCTGAATATTAATCAAAAAACGAAAGTCAACGTTAGCTGTTGCCCTAATTTTACAATTTCCATGATTGATGTTCTGTAAATCCATATACAGTACAGATGCTTGGCCCACATTTTATATTTCTAGATATTTTAGCCGCCATTAATCTATAGCGAAGATCTTAAACACGTTAGAAGCCTAATGAATTTTTTTCCTTCCAACAGAAACAGGAAGTGTCTCAAAAAAAGTCTCAAATGACTCCCAATATGCCTTTATGATTACCAGCCCCTCCCTCAGCTGCCCAGCAAGCCTCAGCTATTACTGAGCTCTCAGTCTTGCAGTCGCCAAAACCCCCCCCCCCCCCCCCCCCTCTCTCTCTTATCAGCACATGGCCATCAGCTTTTACCTTGATGCTCGTCCATTAGTCACCCCACCTTACACATAGTACACCCTTGCGGCCATACTGCTCTGACCTAATGTCATCATATTTCCTGTGCTGTTGTCTTTTGTCTATCTAAACATGATTAAAAAAAAAAAAAAAAAACCCTTTTTTTTTTTTTTAATTAAACCCTTATGCTGGGGGATGTTGACAGAGCACACACACTGTGTCATTTAGCATCATCCTGCCATTTATTTGTACTGTTTGCCGTTCTCTACTGTTGAGGTTAGCCAGTCATATGAGAGCATTTATTGTTCCTCTTGGTCCATTTAAGCCATTTATCCCTGCCTCACCGTAGAATTTTAAAACAACATGTTGAACTTCTTACAAATGTAGGCCAACGTTGTTCTTCCACTTCTCTACTACTAGCGGGCTGTTTTTATTGGCTTGGATGTTATATTTTATGTATGATTTAATAGTCCCTTTTTAAAGGCATTGTAGCAAAGTGTGCTGAATTTAGGTATATGAGGATTTTCCTCTCTTCTTAATGAAATGTCAACTGAAGCTCAGAAAGATTAATAGATGAAATGTGGATGTTTAGGCCTGTGATCACTATCAAAATGCAGAAAAACAGTTATATTTTCTGAAGAAGAATGATAGTATACCTTATTAACTATTTGTATATTCAAATCAGTGCCTCTTCCCTACGTACGTTCTATCATGAATGCAAGGCATAAATGTCAGCCGTAATACATTGGGGGCTACTTTTGTATCCCCATCTTCAATTAAATATACTTTTTTTTTGTTGCTTTTTCCAGTAGTCCGGATATCTTTAAGCGAATATCAGCAAATAACTTCATCCTTGGAACATCTTCAGTTGTACCCTGCTCTGATGTCCCTGCCCACTTTCCTTGAGCAGGGTTAGCACATCCTGCACACCGTTACACTGCAGTGTAATCCTGATGATCAATGGTTGATGCATAAAGGAGACACAGCTCCTCTCAGTAACTTAATCTGATGCCTCATCCCTTATCCGACCACTGGAGAGGGCTGCTCATGCTCCAACAGCACGACCCCCTGCGTCAGCACTTCTCTCTCTGTGTGTGTGTGTGGTTGTGGTGTGTGGTGTGTGTGTGTGTGTGTGTGTGTGTGTGTGTGTAGTGTGTGTGTGTGTGTGTGTGTGTGTACTCTATGTGTGAACATGAGGGTTGGTCTGCGCGCGCATGCATGTGTCCTGGCAAAAACCTGAATAATTGATGAGCAGAGGAAAGAGTGAAAGCACTGCCGGACGGGACGGTGTGTGTGGGAGTGTGTAGAGATGGGGGAAAGGGATACAGTGTGGCAGGAGCCTGGCTACGATGGGATCTGCAACTACGCCCAAAGAATCACCTCCTGCTTCGGACTGGATGGTAAGACAGGGGGAATAACAGAAGAAGAGAAGGGGGGGGGGTTTGTTCATCCTAATGTGAAGCAGGATGCAGAGGCTATGAAAATGATGCGGGTGAATTTTATGTGCGATGCTGATTTTTCTGCAGGCAGGGAGTGCAGCATTGTTGTGTTTGTGTGTTGATCTGCGAGTGTGTGTGTAGTTGTGTTAAAGCATCCAAAGAGTGGATGACAATTGGAGGGCAGTGCCTCACTGCAGCACAATAGCATGTCCTTAGCTACCCTGAGGTCCATGTGTGGTTGTAAAAGTGTACGTCTTATAGCTCAAAATCACACTCTATCTTTTCTCTGGAGTGAAACACTGGCTTTCCTGAATGGGAGAGTGATGGTGGGCGTGTAAGCGGAACCTGAATTAAGTCAAATTAGATAAATACTGAACAATCATAACCTTTAAAGTGCAGGCCAAGACCGATATCTTGACACCATAAGGATATGTTTTGCTTTGTCATTGTCTGCTGGTCTTTTCATCATGCATTTGTATCTCAAGATTTATATCATTTCCTGGGAGAAAGATAGACGCCATTAGCTGTTTGATGAATATTAGATGTCATGGAAGGTTTTCCGATCTTTGCATGGTTTAAAAAAAACATACCGTTGCCAGTTGGTTTAAATCATATCCGATCACTGGTGGGTGGAATCTTGTTTTTGTAGAGTTTGCTTAGATTCTCCCTCTGCATCATCTATCTTTTCACCTCCCACCGGGACATCTCTACGACTCAAGTTTTACCTCTACTGAACTCACATTTCCAAGAAAGGTGAATGCATCTTTGACTCAAGAAAGAGTGTTTGAAGCTAGGACGTTAGTTATGTGGGTTTAACTTCAAAAAACAGTCTGGGCATCTCTGCAGAAACATATTCAGCCCCATCATGAGTTGGTCTAAAGATTATTAACTCACAAAATGCCTTCTTACTAAGTTACATCTTCTAAAATCCTATACCCGATGAATTGAAAGCTATTGACATTTACGCTTTAGCGCTGATGTAGTTGCAGTGTCTTTCATTGTGAAGGATCCTGCTGATGAATAACAGTGCGTTTGTTCATTGTTGTCTGGTCCAATGACCTTGCTTGCTGTTAACCTTGTAGAGAACTGGCAGACACCCAAGGCAATATACCCGGAATATCTTAGATCGCTGTGATGCTGTACACTCGTGCATCCAATTGGTTAATGCAAAGGATATTCAAACAAAAAACTATTTAGTGTCATAGAATGGAAATGCATGTACATCTTGTTGTTTAATGACTTAAGTTGACCAAATCACACGGATACAAGTCATTAAAAAAGATTTTGATAGAATTCCAGCTAGAAATTGGTAGGGTAGGGTTAAGTAAATATGATGAATAAAGTTGATCATGCGCATTTATGCTTTTGGATATATTAAGATACTCTGTTCTCAGAACAAGGTATCCATTTTTTGATTAAAAATATATACAGTCGGTGTATTTCATCTAATAAAAATGTTTAGTTAATGTTTAGTTAATATTATTAACAAACTGAAAACTCATCTCTTTCGACTCCACTTCGAGCGTTAGAACTATTAACGAAGCACTTTTATACTAATAAAGGACTGGCTTACCTAAAGCCAGTTGAGTAGCACTTGAAATGTTTGGCTCTATGAAACCTGATGTACTTATATGATTCTGTTTTCTTCAAGGTTGTGTCTTCCTGGTCGAATGTACTTATTGTAAGTCGCTTTGGATAAAAGCGTCAGCTAAATGCAATGTAATGTAATGTAATGTAATTATGACTAAATTACTAACCTTAAGACCCATGCAAGTGCTTTGATTTTGTTTAATGATATAGGCTAATGATAATTTGCTCAGATTGCAGAAAAGGATATAGTGTTCGATGTTATAGGGACTGTGATAAATGGCAATAAAGATGCCATGTTTTAGGATTGCCTAAAAATATAATCTTTATTTGCTCATGTTTTATGCATATGGTGGTATGTTCTTTTAACTATTATCAAATACATTTGTTTTTCAATTACAATATTTAACACCATGTTAAGGCCGCTACACACCAACCTGAGACCAAAGAACGCGTACCGAAGGCGTCCCGACTTTTACGTCCCGACTTTTACGTCCCGACTTCTACGTCGCCTGCGTCGGCTACACCGCCCGCCTACGAACACACCGCAAAGACTTCAGTCGATGAGTGGCAATATCTGTCCTTACCAGCAGGCAGCGGTAGTGTGTATTCGTCATTCAAAAGAGGCAACAGCCAATCAGAGTGATTTCTTTGGCCGACTTTCTTTGCCGCGGGAGGTGTGAAAATGTGCCGTAAAGCAACGACGGTGCGGGACACACCAACCTGAGTAGGGCGCCGCGAATGCCCGACTGCCTCTGACGGCCTCTGACTCCCAAAATCGGGTAGGTGTGTCAGGGCCTTTAGTGTATTGAATAGCAAACCCTGTATGGTGATGCGTAGGCTTATTGCCAGATTATTTCCATTACACAGCCCTTGTCATTGGCCAGATGTTAAAAAGGGAGAGCAGTAATTGGGATGCACTTCAATCACATAAAAAGAGAGACTCCCACAAAACACAGGACGGATCTGATGTAGAGCCACCTAACCCCACCCAGAAGTTAATCATAGGCTCCACGTCAGCCCTAAGCTGCTTAAGGCACTATGCTGGTTGGGCTGAAGACACTCATAGTGTAAGCTTCTTTCCCCATTTCTCACTCCGCTCTACCTGCAGCAGATGTCACACATGTCGCCTGCTGTTTGGCTGCCCCACCTCAAGGTGGACATCCGCGCTCCACTTCTTACATCTGCAGAAGATCTCAAGTGACAGGTGGAGGGACTGTAACAGGAGGTGTTTTCCACTGGAGGCATCGCTGGATTTTGCCATGATTTTATGTGAAGGTGCCCAAAAAGCTCTGGCTCCTTTTGTTTCCGTTTGTGTGCCTCTATGAAAACACCATGCTCTTGATGTCCAAAGAGAAGGTTTGAGGACCGAACTTGGCTGACGTCTACCTGCAGTGCATCACCTTTCTCTGTGGGAAAACAGAAGGGGAACGGGACACCATGCCCACGCTGCCCAGTATGAACAGCCTAGGCAAACTGTGCAGCTCCAGCCGCAGCAAAGGTGTCGACCGCGTCCGGGTGAAGCGCAATAACTCGGTCAAGCGCATGTCTATCATCGAGGATGGGCATGTGGCGGAAGTTCTGTACCTCATTCCTAAACAGTACATGCAGCATCTGCCCAACATCGACCCCAATGAATATTACCTGAGTGAGAGGCTGAACGATGTGGCTACAGGTAGGACAGGAGAGAAGATTGGAGATGAATTCACCCATCTCCCATTGCACACATCCATCCTAGCTGGGGCTGACTAAAAACCCAGTCTCCTTAATCAATGATAAATACAATTTGAAGTGACATTTCATTTCATTATACTTTCCCTCTTCCTTTCTTCCCTTGTGTTTGTTAATACCAAGTTATTTCGGTCCTGTATTTCAGTGTGGCTCCTCTGTTTGCGAGTACAGGTGGATTTAAGGGAATTAATGTTGCTGTTGCACGAGATTACTTCATTAATTGGATGACAGTGAGTGATAACTCCTCTTGAGGTCTCCATATCTGATCTGTGCATGTGTGTGAGAGCTCCGATGCTCCCGAGTTACACAACCGCAACTCCCAGACGCGTGAAGTGTTGCAAACGTTGAAACAGCCAGGAAATGAATAACTCCATAGTTATATAATGGAAACCAATATGCAAAGGCAGACCTGCTGCATGTTTGCCAAGCAACAGTACATGGGGAAGCAACATGTTGGCTTACATCAGGATTACAAAATGGGCAAGAGGACAAATCGAGATTTTCAGATCTTATGTATTCTCTGACTACATGCCAGGCACATAAATGAAAAAAATCATTGCTTGGAATTAAGTTGTTTTCAAATAACACAGACCGCAGAAACCCTGTTTATTTTCGAGCGAAAGTTTGATTGACTGATAGCTTAGGTTCAAAGAAGCTTTGTGTCTGAACCGGGATCAAAGATCACAGAGGTCATGGCTTATGTTAGACATTTCCTTCCTTGAGTGACAGCTAAAAACGATCAAACAGTGATAATGACAGCTGCTCATGTTGCGTGAGTCCTTTAGGGGCCAGGTCTGAGTCATGTGTCTGCTACTTTATGGTTTTTGGACCGGAAAAAGTCTTACAAGACTTTCTTAAGACACCATATCCATCTTTCAAACTTGCAAAGACACAATAGTCATCTTTTATGTACCCTTAACCTTTCTTTAAACCTGTCTAGTGTTCAACTGTCAGCCAATACAATTGAAACATTGCTGCATTATTTCAACGCTTTTGAATATGAGTGGCACTATTTCTGCTCCAGAATGATGTCACCCAGAGGTCACCAAATGTTTGACGGTACCTCAAAGAAACACGAAAATAAATCAGCAACCCGAGCTTCCTGTGGATTGTAGTTTTAGATGTATGTGCGCAAGATGTAGCAATCCTTATAAAAGGAAGAATGTGATTAATGTGCTGTTGAAAACATATTTCTGTGTGTATTCAGGGCAAAACAGGATGTGTGAATAACACTTTGAAGAAGGTTGCACAGGAATGCTGTTTAAAAGGTTCTCGCTGTTTGTAAAAATAGAAACAAGCTGGTGAGGTGCTTATCATGACAGAGTGGCAGGCCTGTTGAGGAGTAGAGGAGTTCATCCTGGTTATTAGTGTTTTATAAGTGTCACCATGGATTTGTAAACATTTGCAAATCACCCCGCTTTTAGCTAAGAGTATTTACACATGTTGCATTAGTCCGCGTGTGTGTGTAGTTCCTATAATCCTAATTCAAATCCCAGTGCAGTATATCCACACACACCACTTTTATTTACTGTAAATGTCACAGCTTTACAGGCAATAGTCCATAACTGTTAATCAAATGGCTTTTATTGGCGTCTCAAGCTACTGTAAATTACATCAGGGATTTATCTGTGTCGTGCCTACGG